GATCAGAGGGGGATTGCAGGGATCTCTTGTTTTGTCTATGCTTAGATTTGGATTGCAGTCTGAGGTAGTGGTCCTGGGGCAAGGAGGAGCGCTGTCAAGGCGATGCTTGTGGTGCAGTGAAGAGAGAATCCTCCTTACAGTGCCAAGGCAGAAAAGCGTGCTTGTGGTCACTCATAGACCAGAGCACAGGCCAGGAAAGGAGTGAATACCTTGGCCTTTGATCATACCATCTTGGAAGAACTGAAAATTTACAAGTCCTAGAATTATCTCTGAAAACAGTTGCACGAAACCCCTGAAGCTTGGGACAGTACACCTGGAAGCAGAGCCTACCATAACAAAGAGTTAAAAAGTTAAATAATTGGCTGGGAACATGAGCAAACAGAGGCAAAAGACTCAGACTATAGAATCTTACTTTGGTGACAAAGAAGATCAAAATGTACGACCAGAAGACAACAAAGCTCCTACATCCAAAGCCTCCAAGAAAAATATGAATTGATATCAGGCCATGGAAAAGCTCAAAAAGGATTTTGAAAAGCAAGAGAAGTAGAGGAAAAATTGGGAAGAGAAATGAGAGTAATGCAAGAAAATCATAAAAATGAGTCAACAGCTTGCTAAAGGAGACCCCAAAAAATACTGAAGAAAATAACACCTTAAAAAATAGCCTAACCCAAATGGCAAAAGAGGTCCAAAAAGCCAATGAGAAGAAGAATGTCTTAAAAAGCAGAATTAGCCAAATGGAAAAGGAGATCCAAAAGATCACTTAAGAAAATAATTCCTTTAAAAATTAGAATAGAGGAAATAGAAGCTAATGAGTCTATGAGAAATCAAGAAATTATAAAACAAAACCAAAAGAATGAAAAAAATAGAAAACAATGTTAAATATCTCATTGAAACAACAACTGACCTGGAAAATAGATCCAGGAGAGATAACTTAAAAATTATTGCATTATCTGAAAGCCATGACCAAAAAAAGAGCCTAGACATAATTTTTCAAGAAATCATCACGGAAAACTGCCCTGATATTCTAGAACCAGAGGGCAAAATAGAAATGGAAAGAATCCATCGATCACCTCCTGAAAGAGATTCCCAAAGATAAACTCCTAGGAATATTGTAGCCAAATTCCAGAGTTCCCAGGTCAAGGAGAAAATATTGCAAGCAGCCAGAAAGAAGCAATCCAAGTATTGTGGAAACACAATAAGGATAACACAAGATTTAGCAGCTTCTACATTAAGGGAACAGAGGGTTTGGAATATGATATTCCAGAGGTCAAAGGAGCTAGAATTAAAACTAAGAATTACCTACCCAGCAAAACTGAGTATAATCCTTCAGGGGGGGAAATGGAAATTCAATGAAATAGAGAACTTTCAAGTATTCTTGATGAAAAGACCAGAGCGAAAAAAAAAATAACAAAGGGGCAGCTGGGTGGTGCAGTGGATAGAGCACTGGCCCTGCATCATGAGGATCTGAATTCAAATCTGGCCTCAGACACATAACACTTTCTAGCTGTGTGACCCTGGACAAGTCACTTAACCCCATTGCCTAGCCCCCCCCCAAAAAAAAAGCCACCAAAAAAAACAAACAGAAAAGATCAGAGCTGAATAGAAAATTTGACTTTCAAATACAACAGGGAAGAGAAATCATAAGGGACTTATTAAAGTTGAAGCTTTTATATTCCTAGATGGAAAGATGATATTTGTAACTCATGAGACCTTTGTCAGTACTAAGGTAGTTAGAGGGAATATAAATACATATAGACAGAGGGCACAGGGTGAGTTGAATATAAAGGGATGATATCTAAAAAATAAAATTAAGGGGTCAGAGGATTGTACTGGGAGGAGAAAGGGAGAGGTAGAATGGGGTAAATTATCTCACATAAAAGAGGCAAGAAAAAGCTTTTACAGTGGAGAGGAAGGTGAAAGGGAATGAGTGAATCTTACTCTCATCAGATTTGGCTTAAGGAGGGAATAACACACTCGGGTATGGAAATCTATCTTACCCTACAGGAAAATTGAGGGGAAGGGGAAAAGGGGAGGGGGAAATGGTAGAAAGGAGGGCAGATTGGGGGAGGGGTAGTCAGAAGCAAACACTTGAGGAGGGACAGGGTCAAAGGAGAGAATAGAATAAACGGGATGAGATAGGATGGAGGGAAATATAGTTAGTCTTTAGCAAGATGACTGGAGGTGTTTTGCATGACTACATATGTGTAGCCTGTGTTGAATTGATTGCCTTCCTAGTGAGAGTGGGTGGGAAGGGAGGAAGGGAGAGAATTTGGAACTCAAAGTTTTAAGAATGAATGTTAAAAATTGTTTTTACATGCAACTGGGAAATAAGATATAAAGGTAAAGGGGTATAGAAACCTATCCTGTCCTACAGGAAAATAGAAGGGGAAGGGAATAAAGGGGAGGGGGTGATAGAAGGGAGGGCATATTGGGGGAAGGGGTATTTAGAATGCATGCCATCTTGGGTTGGGGGGAGGGGAGAGATGGGGAGAAAATTTGGAACTCAAAATCTTGTGGAAGTGAATATTGAAAACTGAAAATAATTCATTAAAAAGTAAAAAGAAATAGTATCTTGAACTTTAGAAGTCATTAAGTCCAAATTCTTCATTTAAAAGATGATGAAATGGAATCCAGAAAAAAAATTAAATGACTTGCTCAAGGTCACATGAATAGTGGCAGAGTCAGGAGCAGAACTCAGCTCTACCCAGTTGGTAGAAGCCGCCTTCTGGACCTTTTGACCAGTGCAACTTTTGGGCTATCCATTTGTTATCCTTCTTACTTTACCTGACTAGCCCACTTCTTTTTCCTTGTCATATTTTTTCTATCTTCTAATTTAATAACATTCAATGTAAATTGATTGTATTTCTAAAATTTATGAGTGTAGTTTGTGGGTATATCCCTTCATTAAAAGAAAACTAGCCATTTTCCCCCTCCATTTAATCTTCTCAGATTTGGGGAGATAAAGTGAAGCTCTGTTATAGGAATGGGAACTGGACTTGTCATATCGTTTCACTATTGTAGAGGACTCCCTCTAGCTATACAAGTCAGCACTTTCTCTGCTAATTTTATATAGTCTTAGAGACTTGGCTAGAGTTGTTCAGTTGTCCAACTCTCCATAACCCCGTTTGAAGTTCTCTTGGCAAAGATGCTGGACTGGTTTACTATATTCTTCTGTAGCTTATTTTACAAGTGAGGAAACTGAGACAAACAGGGTGAAGTAAGCTGTCCAGGGTCCCACAGTTTAGTAAGTGTCTGAGGCCAGATTTGAACTCATGAAGATGAATCTTCCTGACTCCAGGCCAATTACTTAATCCACCAAGTCCCCTAGCTGCCCCTTGCCGAAAGGTGAAATGAGTTATCTGGGGCTAACACAGCTAGTTTGTGTCAGAGCAGTATTTGAACCTAAGGCTTCCTGGGTTTCGAGGCACGCTGTCTATCCACTGGACCAGGTTACCTCTCAGCCCTGTTATACCATAAATTAAATCAAATGACTCTCATCCCACCGCAGTTGTAATGATTACATGTGATAAAAAAACTGTTTGACGTTATTATTCCACAACATTATCATTAAGAAGTTGTTTATAGTTTATGGTTTTTAGATCACTTAATTGAAAAGAATGGAAAACCTTTGTTTACAGGGTTGTTGTTTTTTTTAATTAAGTTACAATATATCAAATTTTTATAGGAGTAATAAATTTTTAGGGCTGTTTGGGGCCTTGGGAATGTTACTGCTGTGAATGCTAGGCATTTGTGCAGGGGCAAGGAGAGGCGGAGTTTAAATGAGACAGGGTCCCTGCTGTCCTGGATATATAATTAAGCCTCTGTTTCACAGATGAGGAGTCAGGCCCAAGGAAGGTAAGTGGTTTGCCCAATGATAGCTACAAGCATTTATTAAGCATTTACTATGTGCTAGTCCTGTACTAAGTTCTAGGGATAGAAAGAAGGCAAACACTAGTCTCTGCCCTCATGGAGCATACATTCTAATTGGGGAAACAATGTGGGTAACAAGGTATAGGCAAGATATATACAGAGTAGATGGAACAGTAATCTGAAATGGGAGTCATTAGCATCTGGGGAGACCAGGAGAGGCCCACAAAAGGTAGGTTTTGAATTGATTCTCAAAGTCGACGTGAGGGAACAAAGCATTTTGAGCATAGAATATAGCCAGTGCAAAGGCAAGGAAAAGAGAAATGGAGGAATTGCAAGTAGGGTGATATAGCTGGATCGTAGAATGCCTTGTAGGAGTGAGAATAAAATATAGGAAAGGGCCAGGTTGGTAATAGGAAACCCCTGAAGCTCATTAGAGCTTCAGCCCAACACAAGGAAAATCACCTTGGCAGCTGTTTGGAGGATGGATTGGATTGGAGAAGGTTGAGACAGGAAGACCAATTAAAAAGCATTTGCAGTAGTCTAAATAAGTGGTGATGAGGGCATGAGCTAAGGTTGTGGCTGTATGAGGGGAAAGAAGAGAACATATATGAGGGATGTTGTGAAGGTAGAAATGAAAAGATTTGTAGCAGATTAGATATGGGAGGTGAATAAGAGTTAAGGAGTTGAGCATGACACTGAGGTTGTTAACATAGGTAATTGGCAGGTTGGTAGTGCCCTTGATGCTAATAGGAAAATTCAGAAGGTCATAGATCTTGTTAGATGTACATAATTTCTTCTAGAACATGCTGCCTCTAGAGTATGATCTATGATATGATCAAATCTATACAATAAGTTGTAATGGGATTTTACTGAATTTTTTGAAATGATTTCATACTTATTAAAATTTTATCCAGCGTAAGTTAAAAGGAGAAAGAATGAAAACATCTATTTCTTAATCTTAAACTACATATGTTTCTTTGGAGTTACTTTATTTTCATCTTACAGGTATGGTTTATTTTGCGATTACCTTTACTCAGTGTAAATAGCAACTCTTCAATGAGGTTTTTCTGCTTACTGATTTTAGATTCTATAAATTTTATTTTAGTCTATAAATTTTTTTTCTCTGCTAGAATCCACTATCCAACATGTCGAGCAAAAAGGCAAAGAAGACCACAAAGAAGCGTCCTCAACGAGCAACTTCCAATGTATTTGCCATGTTTGACCAGTCACAGATTCAAGAATTCAAGGAGGCTTTTAACATGATTGATCAGAACAGAGATGGTTTCATCGACAAAGAAGATTTGCATGATATGCTTGCTTCCTTGGGTAAATTTTAGGGGCTCATTTTTTTTTCCTGAAAAAAATTATTTTGTGAACCAGGGAGATCACAAGAGTACTCCCCTTAATCAGGTTAAATGCAATTGCTAATTTGTGATAGTCTAACTGAGAACAGAACAATAAGAGGAGCTAGAGAACATAGAAGTATAGAATCTTTGAGTTGGAATGGACCTCAGAAGTCACTAAGTCCAACTTTCTCATTTTAAAGGTAATGAAATGGAATTGAGAAAAACATTAAATGATTTAAATCTAAGATCGAGTGGATAATATCAGAGCCAGGAGTAGAATTCAGAGTCTAGCACTTTCTAGTGAAACAGGACAAGGAAAAGCAGTCAAAGCAAGTAACCTTAAGTTCATAGGGGAAAGGATTGAATTAATTGATTAGGAGCTAACTGCTATTTGAGAAGTTGAGCCTGGCTTAAGACTAATGCAAAGAGATTTCTAAGTGTGGAAATAAGAATGATTTCATACCTAAACTTGAGCAGCAAAAGGACAGGACAAATGTGAAAAGGCCAAGAACAGGAGTTCACCTAGATCAGAGGTTCTCAAGCTTTTTTTGTAGATTGGTACCCTAGCTTAAGAAAAGCAAGAAGTCAGGCAGGATCTAGTTATTTGAGTACCTAGTCAGAGACTAGGCAACAAAGGGTCAGGATTTGTACAAGGGAATTAAAATAACAGGTAAGGGAATTATTAGCAAGACTGGAGTTTGATACTAATCCTAGGGGTTTATGATTCACAGTTACAGGTACTCCTCTCCTGCCCAGAACCAAAACTGGTTTCATCATATGGGCAGGTTTAAGCCCAATCAAATTGGCAGATCTGGCCAGGCTGGGAGGCAGGGTGCAGTTTCTGGGAGCAAGGCAGATTCCAACAGAAAGATAGAACAGCTAGCTAGGAATGTCAGGTTTGAGCGATTTAGATCAGAACCCTGGGTTTGTGCCAGGAGAACAAGGCAGAGAAGATCTAATTTTTTGAAGGACGAAGAGAATACTTCTAGAGCTTGGAGCTAGAATGTGGCAGAGCACTGAAACAAGAAACCAGGATATATTATTCTGGATTCTATAGCTAATCCTGTATTCTGTGTGTCTAATGAATTTTATAATAGAAAATAAACATACAGACGGACATCAAGAGGATCATGTAAATAACTTAACACTGATCTCTTAAGAACCTTATGTTTGTACATTCAGGGTTTTTGGTTTTTTGTTTTTAAACGTAATGGTCAATGTTCATATGATAGGCCTAGTTCAATGTAATAATTTTTTGCATTCTAAATGACTGGAAAATTGTAGTATTTTAGATGTCTCACTTCAGAAAAGAGGTGTTGAGGAGAATTAAGGGGTAAGCCTGCATTTCCAAGGTTGACCTCTTCAAAAAAAGAAAAAAAGAATGCCTGTTTTATTTCTTAACGAGTTTAAGACTAGGGCAGACTCAGGAAACTTTTCAGGTGACCCTGATTTATGTCATACAGTTGTAGCACATTGTGAACCTTTTAAATCATTTTCTGGTTTCACTTACTTCCATACTTAGTCCGAGCACTTTGATCTCCATAAATGGAGACTGTGGCATGACCCAAGAGATCAGTCACAGGGTAACTTGAGGGTGGGTTCTGCACCCTAAGGTAGTAGTGACCTTTGGGGGAGAGCCTCCTTTTCATTTTTGTTTTAGACTGGTAGGAGTAAGTGTCATAGTAATACATATTTATAATTAGAGGTATTTGCTAAAGAAAAAAAAAACTTTTTCCCAATAGAGATGTGCAGTCCAAAAAGCTTGGAGATCACTGGTCTAAATAATGCCCATGGTCAGCCATCCCCACCATATACCAACTACCTGCTACCCATAGGGTAGCTTTGCTGGACTCAAAGGGAGAGACAGGAGGCAATATGTGCCATGCAAGTCAAACCACCATTGATCATTTTCTCCTCCCAGATCCTGATGGAGACTGCCCAGGACTCTGAACCTAAGAGCCTTGGGATTGATGTTGTCTGTCATTCCCTCCCCCGCCCCAACCACCTGACCTACTTCTAGCTCAGTCCCAAAACCATCATGGAGGATCCAGTGGCATCAGCTGGCCAGTTGCCAGTAGTGGATGTGCAGATAGGCATAGAGATCTGGAAATAGCAGAACACAGTAGGTCACTGGTTCTGCTCCCAACCACCCACCCTTACAGCCTTTATCTGGGAGGCCCAGGACCCTCAACCCAAGAGCCTATAGAAAAGCATATGTGTGCTTTCTTCTAGCCCACTACCCTTAGCCATCATCCTGGAATCCAACCCTTACAGAAAAGATGGAACTACCTGCTCCTGCAGGTAGTGCTACAACTACATTTATTGAAGACCCAGAAAAGAAAGTTCTTGGCACTATCAAATGGTTAGACCTCAGAAAATTGTGATTTTATCAATGAAAAAGATGTTTTAAAAGATACATTACCATCTATTTTGCTTCTGCACTCTGAGGCCATAGTATCTTTCCATATATGTTGTCTCCTCCATTAGAATGTGAGCTGTTTACAACCTGTCTTTTCTATTTGTATCCCTAGCATTTAGCACAGTGCTTTGCATGTAGTAAACATTTAATACTTTATTCGTTCATCAGTCGTCCTTTCTTTGCCTCATAGCTTTCATTTCTACCTCTCCATTGCCTACTTCTCCTCTATAAAAATGCTTGTCTCCCCATTCTAAAAAACCCCTCAAACCTTCAGACTTGCTACCCTCTCATATTTCTCTTTTTTACTGCCAAATTTCTAGAAAAAGTAATCTACACTCACAACCTTCATTTCCTTACTACCCACCTAATCCTTAATCCCTTGTGATAATGGCTTCCTTCCCTTCCACTCTATCTAAACTGCTTTCTTTAAGATCACCAGTAACCCTCCAGTTGCAAAATGAGTCCTCAGGTTTTGAACATTCTGAGAACCAAATCACTTTTTCTATCTCAAGTGGCAGTCAATGTAGGAGAGCCTTTTACCTCTAGAGCCAGAGCAGGAAAGTTTCCTCAGAACTATGTGGCTTGAAGAGATAGTTCCCAGTTGGAACTCAGAATTCGTTTTCTGATAGAAATAATAAGAAATTAAAATATGATAGTATAATTCAGACCCTTTTATGGTCAAAACTAAGAATCTAAACAATACTTTTAATCTCTGCCTGAGAAAATGTGTTTTCTAATCATTGATTTATTAGCAGACTGGGAAAACAATCCATTTGCAAGGTGGAGACTAAATGTGTAAAATAATGATAGTAACTTAACGTTTATATAATATTTTATGATTACAAGGCACCTGTATAAGCATCATCTTACTTGATCTCTCCAAAACTTTATGAAGTAAATTGTGCCAGTAATATTCTCCCTAATTTAGAGATGAAGGAATTCATCTGTAGAGAGAGATTTGTGACTTTCTAAGGTCAAATGGTCAGTGATAGAGCTGAGACTGGAACCCAGATTTTCTGATTCTCAAACCAGTTCTTTTCCTTTTACTTCACCTCCCATATGCAAATTTAGCAATACTAGATTTAAACATGTTCTCATGTTGGTGGTTACCTTTGTTGTTCTTTACTCAAAATAACTTTTGTTTAAATCTGCTTTCTAAGCTTTAATATTACAATATTGCATATTGAATAATAATTTAGTAAGGTAATGATTATTATCATACTAGAAATAACTGCATCATAGTTACCAACTTTACATTTTTTTTCATGTGAATTCTTTTAGGGAAGAATCCAACTGATGCATACCTAGATGCTATGATGAGTGAGGCTCTAGGTCCAATAAACTTCACCATGTTTCTTACTATGTTTGGTGAGAAATTAAATGGAACAGATCCAGAAGATGTAATTCGAAATGCTTTTGCTTGCTTTGATGAAGAGGCAACAGGTGGGTGCTAATCATGAAATAGTATCACATAGTTTTCAAATCAACTGCAAAATTAAGATATATCTAGCTAAGTATGTTAATGTGAAGTTTAGGTACCACAGTAAAACTGAAGATTCTGGTTGCAGAAGTGGCCTTCTCAAATAGCTGACAGCAGGAATTAAAATCTTTATTTGGCTTTGTGAAACATCAGAAAGGATATTTTTAATTCTTATGTTCATATCCACATCTGTTATTTTATTGATATATGTACAACTTCTACCAATACAAAGTATGACCCCAATTATAATTTAGTAGATAATCTATGAGAGTTAATGGTGCCCCAGAAAAAAATCACTACCCTGCTGCTAGTCTGGTGATGAGCTTCTGATTGATGACATTAGTTTCTCCTGATGCTTTATCTAATTCTACCTCTTGTTGACCTCATTAGCTCCCATAGGTGTCATTGTTTTCTCTGTGCAGATAACTCACAGAACTATACAGGATGGTCCAAGCATTAACAGCTTAAAATTGCAATAAGACTTTTGGAATACCCTGTATATCCAACCCTAGCCTCTCCCCTGAGCTGCAGTCCCTCATCCCCAGCTGCCTAGTGGATGTTTCAAACTAGATATCCCATAGGCATCTCAGATGTATCTAAAAAAGAACTCTCTCTTTTTCCTCAAATCCACCCCCTTTTCTGAATTTCCTTATTTCGGTAGTAAACACCACCATCTTTTTAATCATTTAAGTTTACAACCTTAGAGCTATCTTAACTCCACAGTCTCTCTTATCCCGCGTAGCTAGTCACTCACCAAATCTTGTCATTCTTGCTTCTTCGATATCTCTCTGTATTCAGCTTCTCCTCACATGGACACCACCGTAGTGCAGACGCTCCTCACCTCAGACCTGGACTATTGCAGTAGCTTCCTAATAGATCTCTCTTGTCTCTTGGTTCTTCCCACTCCATCATCTACATAGCTACCAAAGTGATATTCCTAAAGCACAGGTCTCACTATGTCACTCCTCTACTCAGTAAAGTCCAGTGGCTCTCTATTATTTCTAGGATCAATTACAGACTCTTCTGTTAAGCATTTAAAACCCTAAATAAGATGACCCTAAACTACCTTTCCAGCTTTAATATATTTTCCTTCCTATCATGCACTCTATGATCTAGTCAGACTGGCCTTTTTGATGTTCTTTACATACAACATTACATTTCCTTGCCTTTATTTGGCTGTCCTCCACAGTTCCTATACACTCATTTGTGTATGTTGCCTTAACCTATGGAACACAAGTGCCTTGAGGTCCAGGACTGTTTCATTTTTGGTTTTGTATCCCTAGCTGCCTAGCACAGTGCCTGAAATATAGTAGGTGCTTAATAAATGCTTATTGATTGTTAATTTAATGGTCTTTGGACTGTAGACAGATAGTCAGTTGGCCCATACTGGAAGCCTTTCAAGTTTAGAAGGAAGTGCTAAAAATTAGCATTTTTCTGGCATAGTCTTTGAGAACCTAGAGTCACTAATGCGACAAGAAGGGATCAGAAGAGACCTTAACGAATTCCTTATTAAAAGTTATGTAAGATCCTATTTAGTACAAAACAGAATTGTTGAACTGAGAAAACTTCATGAGTCTGGTCCATGCTTGCCCTTATTTTTAGTTGTATTCCCCTCTCAATTAAATGTAACTTCTGCTTTCTCCAGTATGCCTTTGCTTATGCCATTATATCTCAACCACTCTCCTCTTTATTTTCTATCTTCTCTAGGCCAAGATCTGTTATGTAATTTTTAGGCAAGTCATTTAATAAGCCCTTCTATGTTCTGTGCACTTTGCTAAGTGCTAGGGATACAAAAGTAAAAATGAAAGTCTCAGAGAGCTTACATACTGTCAAGGAAGATGTAAGTATATGCAAAAATATGAGGTAATTTTACAGAGGGAAAAGCCTCATACAGAAGGTAATGTTTAAGCTGAATTTTAAAGGAAGCAAGGGATTCTGAGAAGTAGATATGGGGAGAGTATGTAGTTCAGGCAGAGGGACAAGTAGTATAGAATCACAGAGGTAGGAGAACTAATGTTGTGAAAGGCCTGTTTGGTTGGACCATAGAGTGTCTAAAGAGGAGTATTACATAGACTGCAAGAGTGGGTTGGAGCCAGCTGGGAAGGACTTTGAATGTTAAGCAGAGGAGTTTGTATTTGATCCTAAAGATAATAGGGGAAAACTAGAGTTTAGTAAGCAGAGAATTGACATAGTTAGACTTTTGTTTTAGGAATATCACTTTGATAGCTATGTGGAAGATGGATTGGAGAGGGAAGAGACTTGAAGCAGAGACACATTACATTACAGGGTATTACAGGAGTCTACGTATCAGATGAATAAGGCCTGTACTAAGGTGTAGTCCTGTGAAATGGCAAAAGGGGGATGAATTTGAGAGATATGAAAGTAAAATTGGCAAGATTTGGCAACTGATTGGATATATGAGGTGATTGAGAGTGAGGAGTTGAGGTTGGCACAGTGGTTATCATCTAAGTGACTGGAAGGATGGTAGTTTCCCTGACAAAATAGGAAAGTTCAGAAGTGGGTTTGAAGGGGAGAAGGTTTTTTTTTAATATCTTTAGTTTAAGATGCCTACCTAACATCCAATTTGAAATGTCCAATAGGCAGTTGGTCATGAAGGACTGGAACTCAGGGTTGGATGATGATGATGATGATGATATGTGTGTGTGTGTGTGTGTGTGTACAGGTAGGTAGGTAGATAGATAGATAGATAGATAGATAGATAGATAGATAGATAGATAGATATAGATATGGGGAGAGCGAGTTCTGTGAGTCATTTGTATAGAGATGATCATTAAACCCACAGTAACTAATGAGATCACCAAGAATGAGAGTATAGATTGAGAAGAGGAGGCTGCAGGACAGAGTGTTCAGTCAGCAGTCACCCAGCATTTATTAAGCACACTTAATGTGAGCCAGGCACTAAGTGCTAAGGATAAAATGAAAGGCAAAATATACCTGCCCTTGAGCTTGCATTCTAATGGGGAAAACAACATATAAATAATTAGGTTCATACGAGGTAAATATAGAGTAAATGGAAGGCAATTTTAGAAGGCATTATGGGAGGGGGTGGGAGGTGGGAGGACAGCACTGGAAAAGGCTTCCTGCAGAAGATGAGACTTAAGCTGAGTCTTAAAGGAAGCCAGAAGGCCTCTGTGAGGAGGGAGGGAATTGCAGGCATGGGGAGCAGCCAGTGAAAAGGCATGGATGGAGGCGGGAGATGCAAGTTGTGTTTGAGGAACAGCAAGAAGGTCAGTGTGGTTGGATTGTAGAGAGGATGGAGAAGAGTGAGGGGTAACAAGACTGGAAATGCAGAAAAGGGCCAGATTAAGAGCTTAAAGTGCCAAACAGCATTTTTACATTTGTCTTGGAAGTAATAGGAAGCCACTGGAGTTTATTGAGCAGGGAGGTGAGATACATGATGATAAAAAACTGGATGGGAAATAGACAGGTCAAGAAGTATGGCTGAGAAAAGATCATCAGATTTAGGGCTTAAGAGATTGTTGGTAACTTTAGAGAGAGAAGTTTAAGTTGCATGAGGTTAGAAGCTAGATTACAGAGAGATTAGAAGAGAGGGAGAGGAGAGGTGGTGGAGTGAGTTAGCAAGTGTAAACAAGTTTTTTTTAGGAGTCTGGCAGAGAAGGGAGAAGATATAGGATCATAGGGTCTAGTGAAGGTTTTGATTTTTATTTTAAGGATGGGGAAGACTTGGGCATGTTTAAAGGCAGCAGGAAAAGAATCAGTAGATAGGGTGAAGTTAAAGATTAGAGAAAGAGAGGGGTGATTGTCATTCTTCTAGAGAAAATGAAAGGAGTTGAGATCAAAGGCCCATGTAGACGTTGACTGTGGCAAAGAAAAGGGCTACCTCATCATCAGAGACTTGAGAAAAGAAAGAGAGAGAGTCAGGAGTAAAAAAGAGAGAAGAGGGTATTCAAGTCAAATGCCAGTTTCCTTTGTTAAGTTAAAAACAAGTTCATTTGTTAGGAGGATGGGGAGATGTGGGACACTTTGAGAAGAGAAGAGGAGGTTTGGAATAGCTTCTCTGAGTAGTGAGAGAGGGAAATAGGAAATAATAAAATAATTACCTTGCTCTGGTGAAGTGGTGAGTAAAGGTAATGACAATACTGACGAATGGCCAGGGACACACCATCTGGAAGAAAGCAGGTATCAGATCCCATTAAATGGAAGGCATATGAGGGAGGAAGGATCCAGAATGAAGGGACGTTTGTTCATTGTGGAACAGGAATTCCATTGGGCACAGCGGAGGGTGAGTAGAGTTGAAGTAGGGCGTGAGTAATGTGGCATTGAGAGTGAGGATAAAAGAAAAGGGTTTGGAGTTAGTTTATTCTTAGGCTGCTGTGATTAAGTGATGCAGGGATAAAAAGAGTAACATCTAGTGCAGGTTTGCTAGCCATGGGGTAGAAGTTTTCCTCCTACCTGACTGCTCCTTCTGTCTGCTTTACTGTCACCCAGGCTCAAAAACCTAGGTGTCATCTTTTGTTCCTCACTATCTCTCACCCCCTCCCCTTCCCATATCCAATCTGTTGCCACACCCTTTTGATTTTATCTTTGTAGTATCTGTTGAATATGCCCACTTCTCTCCTCTTACACTGCCACCACCCTGGTGCAAGCCCTCTTCAAATTGTGCCTGGACTATAGCAATAGCTGACTTATTTATCTACCTGCCACAGGTCTCCTCACTCCACTACACTCTTCAGTCAGCTATCAAAGTGATCTTTCTAAAGCATAGGTCTTATCGTGTCACCCCACACCCACTCCTAACCCCATCAATAACCTTCCGTTTACTCCCAGTCACCTCCAGAATCAAGTATAAAATCTTGTTTGGCATTCAAGCCCTTCATAACCTGTCCCCCTTTCTCAGTCTCCTTACATCTTACATCTCCACATATTCTTTAATGCAGCGAAGAAGTCACTTCATCTCCCAACTCTGGACATTTTCATTGAC